GCCTTCCAGAAAGAGAATTTAAAATTGCCATGATTAAAAAAGTGATAGATCAGAAGAAGGAAATTGAGTCACTAAAGAGGGAAGTAAGAGAAATGCAGGAGATCAAAGAATTAATGGAGGAACTAAAGAACTCTGGGAAAGCAATGAAAGCAGAATAGATGAAATGGAAGAACGAATAAGTAATCTTGAAGACACAGAAATAAAAAGAACCAAAACAGAAAAGGAAAGAAGTACGAAGGAAAAGAATGAAGAAAGACTTCGGGAACTATCTGACTCCATGAGGAAAGGAAATATAAGAGTTATAGGAATTCCAGAAGGAGAGGAGAGAGATGTAGGAACAGAGAAATATTCATGGATATAATTGAAGAGAACTTCCCAAATGAGAAGAAGGAGCTGAAAATTGATATACAAGAAGCAAGAAGAACACCAAACTTCCACGACGAAAGGAAAAACACAGCAAGACACATAATAGTAAAGCTCCCAAGAATCCAGGACAAGGAAAAATAATGAAGCTGACAAGAGGGAAGAAACAGATAACATTCAAAGGAAAACCAATCAGGCTGACATCAGACTTCTCTGAAGAAACACTACGGGCAAGGAGAGAGTGGAGGGACATAGTCAACAGACTCCAAGAAAACAGATGCCAACCAAGAATACTCTATCCCGCAAAGCTCTCTTTCCTCCATGAAGAAAGAATATGGACCTTCCCAGACAAAGAGAAACTCCGGAATTTCATTGCGACTAAACCCCCACTCCAAAAAATACTACAAGGAATCCTAAAGCCAGAACCTCAGAGGGACGAATAACAACGAAAGAAGACCAAAAAAAAAAAAAAAAGTTATTAAAAGAATAAATAAATAAAATCAAAGGAAAGACAAACATAATGGCAAATACAGATGCTAACATATCAATATTAACTCTAAATGTAAATGGACTAAACTCTTCAATAAAAAGACACAGAGTTGCAGCCTGGATTAAGAAACAAAACCCAACCTTTTGCTGTCTCCAGGAAACACATTTAGCTACAAAAGATAAAAATAGGCTCAAAGTCAAAGGATGGAAAACAATCCTACAAGCAAATGGGCCAAAAAAGAAAGCAGGAACAGCTATACTTATATCAGATAAAACAGACTTCAAACTCAAAAAAATAAAAAGAGACCCCAATGGTCACTACATTATGATTAAGGGGACAATACTTCAAGAAGAAATAACACTCATTAACATATACTCACCAAACGAAAGAGCACCAAAATATATCAGACAACTGTTGTCCTCTCTGAAAACAGACATCAGAGAAAACACATATGTAGTGGGAGACTTCAACACACCACTATCAACAATGGATAGATCAACAAGACAAAAAATAAGTAAAGAAACTAAAGCTCTAAATAAGGACCTAGAGCATTTGGGCTTAACAGACATCTATAGAACACTAAACCAAAAAAAGAGAGTACACATTTTTCTCAAGCGCACACGGATCATTCTCCAGGATCGATCACATACTGGGGCACAAGACAAACATCAACAGATACACCAAGATTGAAATCATACCAACCATCTTTTCTGACCACGAAGGCATCAAACTAGAAATAAATCATAAAAAGAAGGCAAGGAACTATCCTACCTCATGGAGACTAAAAGCCACACTACTGGAAGACCACTGGACTAACGAGGAGATCAAAGAAGAAATTAAAAAATTCTTTGAATTGAATGACAAGGAGGACACCAATATCCTAAATGTATGGGATGCAGCAAAAGCAGTAATAAGAGGAAAATATATAGCAATAGAAGCTCACATCAAGAAACAAGAAAGAACTCAAAGAAACAACCTAATCTCGAAGCTCAAAGATCTAGAAAAGAACAACAAAAAACCCCAGAACCAGTAGAAGAAAAGAAATAATAAAAACCAAAGCAGAAATAAATGAATTGAAACTAAAAAAACAATCCAAAAGATCAATGAAACCAAGAGCTGGTTCTTTGAAAAAATAAATAAAATAGACAAACCCCTAGCCAGGCTCACAAAGGAAAAAAGGGAGAAAGCACAAATACACAGGATCATAAATGAAAGAGGAGAAATCACAACGGACACAGCAGAAATCAAAAGAATAATCAGTAACTACTATGAACAGTTATATGGAAACAAGTTCAACAATCTAGAGGAGATGGACAAATTCCTACAACTCTACAATCACCCAAAGCTAGATAAAGAAGAAATAGAACACCTAAACAGACCAATTACAAGCAGTGAAATTGAAATGGTAATTAAAAACCTCCCCAAAAACAAAAGCCCAGGACCTGATGGATTTACAAATGAATTCTACCAAACATTCAGAGACGAATTAGTGCCTATCCTTCACAAACTCTTCCAAAAAATTGAGAAGGAAGGGACAATACCAAACACGTTCTATGAAGCCAATATTACACTAATACCAAAACCGAATAAGGACAACACAAAAAAGGAAAACTATAGGCCAATCTCCCTAATGAACACTGATGCAAAAATCCTCAATAAAATTTTAGCTATCAGAATCCAACAATGTATCCATAAGATAATTCACCACGACCAAGTTGGATTCATTCCAGGGGCACAAGGATGGTTTAACATCCGAAAATCAATCAACGTTATCCAACACATCAACAAAAAGAAATATAAAAACCATATGATAATATCAATAGATGCTGAGAAAGCTTTCGACAAAGTGCAACACCCATTCATGATAAAAGCCCTTGAAATTCTTGGATACAAGGAACATACCTCAACATCATAAAGGCCATCTATGACAAGCCAACAGCCAGTATCATTCTCAATGGTGAAAAGCTGAAAGCAATTCCATTAAGATCTGGAACAAGACAAGGATGTCCACTCTCACCACTGCTTTTCAATATAATACTGGAAGTCCTAGCCAGAGCAATAAGACAAGAGAAAGACATCCAAGGAATCCAAATAGGAAAAGAAGAAGTCAAACTATCACTATTTGCAGACGATATGATAATATACATAGAGAACCCAAAATCTCCACAGAAAAACTAATTCAACTCATCAATCAATTCAGTAAAGTGGCAGGATACAAAATCAACACGCAAAAGTCAGTAGCCTTCCTATACACAAACAATAAATCTGAAGAAGAAGAAATCAAAAAACCACCCCTTTTATTATCGAAACAAAAAAAATCAAATATTTGGGAATAAATCTAACAAAAGAGGTAAAGACCTATACAAAGAAAACTATAAAACACTGTTAAAAGAAATAGAAGAAGACACAAAGAAATGGAAAGACATCCCCTGCTCATGGATTGGAAGAATAAACATTATTAAAATGGCCATCCTACCAAAAGCAATATATAGATTCAATGCTATTCCAATCAAATCTCAATGGCATTCTTCAAAGAAATAGAACAATTATTGATGAAATTCATATGGAATCACCAAAAACCCCGAATAGCCAAAGCTCTACTGAAAAAAAAAGAAGGAAATGGAGGCATCACACTCCCAGACTTCAAACTCTACTACAAAGCCATAATCATCAAAACTGCATGGTATTGGAACAAGAACAGACATACAGACCAATGGAATCGAATAGAAAATCCAGAAATAAACCCACAGATTTATGGTCAACTAATCTTTGACAAAGGAGCAAAGACTATGCATTGGAGCAAAGAAAGTTTGTTCAATAAATGGTGCTGGGAAAACTGGGTCGCTACATGCAAAAGAATGAAGCTTGACCACTACCTCACACCATACACAAAATCAACTCAAAATGGATTAAAGAACTAGACATAAGACCTGAAACCATAAAATACATAGAAGGAAATATAGGCGAAACACTATGGGATTTGCACATCAAAGACATCTTTAAAGACACATCACCCAAAGCAGTGATAGTGAAGAGAAAGATAAACAGCTGGGACTACATCAAATTAAAGAGCTTCTGCACAGCAAAAGAGACAATAACAAAAACAAAGAGAAACCCCACCAACTGGGAACATTTTTGCACCCACACTAATGATAAAGGACTGATCACAAAATCTGCAAAGAGCTGATGAGACTCAGCAACAACAAAGAAAATAATCCAGTCAAAAAATGGGCAGAAGAGCTAAAAAGAAACTTCTCTGAAGAGGAAATGCAAATGGCCAACAGACATATGAAAAAATGTTCAACATCCCTTGTAATCAGGGAAATGCAAATCAAAACTACATGAGATACCATCTCACACCAGTGAGAATGGCACATATTAAAAAAACTAGCAACAACAAATGTTGGCGAGGATGTGGAGAAAAAGGAACTCTTGTGCACTGTTGGTGGGAGTGCAAACTGGTCCAACCACTATGGAGAGCTGTGTGGAGATTTCTGGACCTACTAAACATAGGGCTTCCATATGATCCAGCAATTCCACTCCTAGGTATTTACCCAAAGGACACAGAAACATCAATTCCAAAGAGCACCTGCACTCCTATGTTTATAGCAGCACTGTTTACAATAGCTAAGCTTTGGAAACAACCCAAATGCCCAAAAATAGATGACTGGATCAAGAAGATGTGGTACATATATACCATGGAATATTACTCAGCATTCAAAAAAGATAAACACATGCAATTTGCAGCAACATGGATGGCACTGGAAGGGATCATGCTCAGCGAAATAAGCCAAAAAGAAAAAGAAAAATACCGAATGGTCTCACTCATAGCAGGAATCTAGAAAACTTAAATAAGGACCAGGAAAATGAATATAAGAAAGTGAAAATCAAAATCAACAAAAAACTATGAACCAGAGACACTTTTTGGGGGGTGGGGGGCGGGAGGGGAAGGATTGGGGTCAGAATGGGGCGTTTGCAATTGTATGGGGGAATATAAAAATAAAATTTAATATTTAAAAAAAAAAAAAAAAAAAAAAAAAAAAAAAAAAAAAAAGAATATCGCTAGTGTGTCTGCTGTTTTGTCTAGCTGAGAAAGAAATCTCAGCCCCACAGTAATTAGATTATATTTTACCTTTCCTTCTTATAGAGATATTTCAAGAACCAGAATCCGCTCCTTGCCAAGCTATGGCTTAGAAAATCTTAAGAAGCTACGGGCCAGGTCGGCTTACAACTTAAAAAAACTTCCCAGTCTGGAAAAGTTTGTCTCACTCATGGAGGCCAGTCTCACCTACCCCAGCCACTGCTGTGCCTTTGCAAACTGGAGACGGCAAACGTGAGTCTTCCCATGTCCATCCCCTGAGTAGGGCTAGAGCGTACCCCCAAAGCAGAACTCAGTCACAATATTCTACATATCTGTCATGGAGATCTCCCAGAAAAAAAGTTCTTAAGTATATTTTAGATCAAAGATTTCATTTGGTGACAGGTGAGGAAGGTTTCACTCTTCTAATTTCTTTGAAAATGTGTTCACAGGAGAGGACTGCCTGCATGGCAGAACACTTACTAAATATCAAATGTGATCACATGAAAGAGAGCAAGCATAGGGTCCGACACAGGCCTGATAATTAAATATGCATTCCCTCTTTTCCTTTGTACCCATATGGATAGATCCTTCAGGTTTCAAACTTTGTACCCCATAAAATGTCCCTAAGTCCAGGTTGGAGGGGAGAAGCATAAAAGCTATCCCAGAGAATGATACACACACCACAAGACATCTCAACCATTCTGAGTCTCTCTAATGTACCTTAAGATCTTAGCACAATACAGGGAGGATGAAGATTGGGACATGACTTTGATATCAAAGGTTGTTCAGGTTTGAGGAAGTCCAGATTAAAGAGAGTAATCCAAACAGAGCCATGTGCCAGCAACTAACTGGTTAAAGAAGCTAAAGTAATCACAGACAGTACCTAGAAAGAGTCGAGAGGGAAGTGACTTTGGAAACTGCACATGTTCCAGACATTTCAAGCATCCATTGGAGCTAAGAATTTATTGGATAGCAGGAGCTTTCTAAGCTCTCAGCCACCCCAGAACTTACCAATACGATCCACACCGCGCCATTGCACTCAATCAGAACCTGCCTTGTACTGCTCTTGTGCAGTAGCCAGTACTAGTTCAGCTCCCTGTGATATTTCACTATTTATACCATTCATTGCAGCTGCCTCTATTATTTAACCTTTAACACACACTGACCTGCCCATTGATAGATTCCCTGCTCAAAAGCAAAATAAAACAACAAACAGCCCATACCCTAAAGTGCTTTCAAAGTATCTAGGGGCCCACACTCTGATCCAGTTGAAGGATTTTCTATAAAGGGGCTGCAGATATAGCAGATATTTCCAGATATATCATGCAAGGTTGGGACACGGCCCAAATTAGCTCAAGAGACAGAGAATTCTTCCCGATGACAAGAATTCTTAAAGACTTGGGATGAGGCAAAAGGCTTTCCTCTTCTGTAATCCAACAGGAATTTTTCCAGCCAAAGTAAGAAATAGCATTGAGTCGCCCAGGAACTAAAGAAATTTCAAAGGATGATACATCTCTGTGGAAGCTGTGTGGCACCCATATACCATAGAAATGTATTTCGTAGTTTTTTCCTCAGACTCCTGTGGTCTTACCACCTCCTAGTAGTATAGATGTAGCTCAGGTCTCTCATAGCTCAAAATTTCCAAGTTGGTCTTCCATTTCCCATGAATGGTCTTCCATCTCCCTCCAGTCCAGCCAGCTCTCCCCTCATCTAGGTCCCTCTTGTCATTTACCATCAAGGCCTGTCAAGGAGCAGCAAGGGAGAACCCCCACTTCTTCTAGGGAGACATACCCAAATGGAGTAACAAAAATTGCAATGGGCATTTAAACTTTATATTTAACAAATTCACACACAGATGCAATAATGCATTATGCTGCTCAGAAGATAATCACACAACCTATTTTTCAAATAGCATCAATTTATTGTATATCATAGCAGGCGTGGTTTAGTAATGAGATTTGAGTTTGTACTCATACAATGAAATTGTCCTTCCAATCCTCATTTGGAACAATGCCCAAAGTATAAATGGTAAGTCCTTGTGACTGTGAGGTTTTAGCTAATGAACCATTTGGATTCTCTCTGAAAGATTCTGTTAACCACACTCCTCATTTGTTATTAAGTCACTTACTTCCTAGTTACAGTTTTGTGCTCAATTTGCATAGCTATTTGTTCTTTTATTATTTTGCTTTTCTTATATTTAGGTCTTTATTTCCCAGCTAAATTTTAAGTTGATGTATCACTGCATATGCTCCCAAGTACCCCCAACAATAACTAACCTGACCAAACTCAGATCAAATCCCACCCCTCCACCCTCCGGCCAGATTCCAGAATTCAGGCACTGGCCACTGTGCTAAGCACTTTCCAATTGTCTGTTCATTGACTGATCCAGCACCAAAAATACCACTTTCTAAACCAAATTCCCAGCTCTTTGTTGGATACTTAAGTTTGCCAAGATACCACAGAAGCGAGACTCTATAGCCCTCCATTTGCCTTTCTTTTCTCTCCTGTTCTTTTCTCAAGGACATTCTTTCTTTACCTTTTTTCCACTCATGTTGTTGGGTCACTTCTGTTTCAGGAAAGGAAACATCAATATTTAAAATGTGTTGGTAGCAATATCAACAATACAGATCTTCACAGGAGCCCATAATAAGCCCCAGGAAGTGAATACTGTCTCTAGATGTTGGGCCAGACCTGTTCTGGTGAGCCACATCACAGTCCACAGGTGTCAGATTACTTCCTTTCTGAGCCTAGGCTAGGGCTCCACCTTTTCCCAGGAGAGGATTTAGGACTCAGGGATTAGACTAAGAACCACAGGGTGATCCTCTTATTCCCTTTCTTCCCATCTGTGAGCTTGCCTTTCTTTTAAGAATTCTGACTAAGCCAAAGGTTTTATGCATGATTTTATTAATGACTTGTATTGATGGTTTAGCCTCTTCAGCGCAACCATGACAGGTGGGAGCAGCTCTATCAGTCTCTAAAACAAAAGATGACACATCCTCCAGCAAAAAGGGTCCCTTATGGTGAGGGAAAATAACTTCCTGACAATTCAGTGCATTTCTGGGGTGTGAGAAAAGGGAGGAGGAGGTTGCTCCTATGAGCCCCATCTCAGAGGGGTGGAAGGGAAAAGAGTTCAGGCTATTCACACTGCAGCGCTTAGGTGCTCATCTCAGCCCCAAGTGGGGTCTTTAGCTCCTCCACTCTCTCCTCTTCATGGGCGTCTTTGAAGGGTTCAAATGCTCATTTCTGAGACTATGTTAAGATGTGAGAGTGATGCACTCACTTAACATGGTAGGGAGCTTGTCCCTCAGGGAGAGGAGGGAATGGGATGTGATTTAGTTTTTCATCCTGAAGAGTACAGTGTAAAATATCCTCATTCCCTAAGCCTTTGCTTCAAAACAGAACTATGATTGCTTTCTCTGTCTCTACTGCGCTATCTGTCTGGGTAGAATATTTATCATTTGGCTTTCATCCAAATCTCTTCTGAAAGTGCCTCTATACTGTTGATAGGGTCTCTTGTACATTTGAGTTTTAAAGGGAAAACCAAGACAGAAAAGTGAGCTCAAGAAGAGCCAGGCGACCCAGGGGATAAGTTATTATAATCTTAGAATAAATTAGGCTCCACTGCAACCTGCATTTGCTCTTTAGGGCACTCGCTAGGGAACTACTTAATATGAGAGAGTCAGGCTTATCTTGTAGACAAATACATGCTTGAGGCCTCTTGTGACCCCTGGGGTGTGAGATAATAAAGAGTAGGACCCTCCATTACATTTCAGGCAAATTAGCTGACCTCCTAGAAGCCTGAGTACCCAGGACCAGGAGGCTGGGAACTAACTGCAGAGCCTGATCCTCTAATTTATGTAGATAAAAGAATAAGTAAGTTCTTATTTGAGTCAGTAAACAGTCCAGATCTCCAGTGACTAGAGTGAAGCAAAGGATTTGGGGTAGACCCTGCTCCAGCATGTTAAGAGATAACTGAGGGGGGTGGAAGGTAGAGGAGCTAATATCAGGTCTGTAAATTATTTGCACTTAACAGCAAGGTTTAGCTAGTCCCAGGCGCCTTCCTCCCCACAGTCAGGTTGTGGCCAGATGGTTTCCCCAGTGGGTCATCCAGCTCTAGACATACACACACGAGTTGTTTTGTTCATTTACAGTAAGCAGCATTAACCCTTGAGCTTAGCCTCAAGGGCAAACTATTAGGAGGAAAAATATGTCTCAGAAAGAAACCCCATCATTTCTACCCTATGCATAGACAGTGATGTATTTGCCATTTCTGAGTTCAGGATGTTGATTCTATTTCTTTTTGTATTTTTCCAGCTCTGAGCTTCATCCAATTTGCAACAAATCTATTTTAAGGCAAGAAATTGATGATATGACTCAGGCTAGGGGTCAGAGAGTCTCTTTGGCAGAAGATGATGAGTCCAGTTACACCAAAGAATATGACACAATGTATGGTGAATTTGACTATGACTTATGCAATGAAGTAGTTGATGTGACTTGCTCTCCTAAGCCAGATGCATTCAACCCATGTGAAGATATCATGGGGTATGATATTCTCAGAGTCTTGATATGGTTTATAAGTATCCTCGCCATCACGGGGAACATCGTAGTACTGGTGATTCTGACTACCAGCCAGTATAAACTCACAGTTCCCCGGTTCCTTATGTGCAACCTAGCCTTTGCTGATCTCTGCATTGGAGTCTACCTGCTGCTCATAGCATCAGTTGATATCCACACCAAAAGCCAATACCACAACTATGCCATTGATTGGCAAACTGGAGCTGGCTGTGATGCTGCGGGCTTTTTCACTGTCTTTGCCAGTGAGCTCTCAGTCTACACTCTGACAGCCATCACGCTGGAAAGATGGCATACCATTACCCATGCCATGCAGGTAGACTGCAGAATGCAGCTCCGCCATGCTGTCAGCATCATGCTGATAGGCTGGGTCTTTGCTTTTATAGTTGCGCTCTTTCCCATTGTCGGCATCAGTAGCTACATGAAGGTTAGCATCTGCCTGCCTATGGATATTGACAGCCCCTTGTCACAGCTGTATGTAATGTCGCTCCTTGTACTCAATGTCCTAGCCTTTGTGGTCATCTGTGGCTGCTACACCCACATCTACCTCACAGTGAGGAACCCCAACATCGTGTCTTCCTCTAGTGACACCAAGATTGCCAAGCGAATGGCCATGCTCATCTTCACGGACTTCCTCTGCATGGCACCCATCTCTTTCTTTGCCATCTCGGCTTCCCTCAAGGTACCCCTCATCACTGTGTCCAAATCAAAGATCCTCCTGGTCCTATTCTACCCCATCAACTCCTGCGCCAACCCCTTCCTCTACGCCATCTTCACCAAAAACTTCCGCAGGGACTTCTTCATTCTGCTGAGCAAGTTTGGCTGGTATGAAATGCAAGCCCAGCTATATAGGACAGAAACCTCATCCACTGCCCATCACTCCCATCCACGGAATGGCCACTGCCCTCCAGCTCACAGGGTCACCAATGGTTCCAATTATACACTTGTCCCTCTAAGCCACGTAGCCCAGAACTAAACCAAAATATGCAAATCTATCTAAGTCTTGAGTGATAATTTAGTCTCACCTTTGAAGAATGTGCCATTAGATACTGACAGAGAGCTGCTACATACATCTAATTTAATCTTCTTGGTATACCTGTAAGGTAAATCAGTCAGGAACTATTAACTCCATGTGGTAGATTAGGAAGTTCAAGTATTAATGACAATAATTCAATGTTATGTCACATTTGTTTTATGCTTTATAGTGCTTTGTTCAGATTATCTCAAATGATTGTTATAAAAGTCCTGTAAACAAGGCCCTCCTTGGTGGCGCAGGTGGCGCAGGTGGCTGAGCGCTGCACTATGAAGATGTCCACAGCCTTTGCAGCATGGGTTCAATACCGGCCGGCCGGCAAGAATTCCACATGGCAAAGCAGACCTCTCCTGTCTCAGCCTCTGTTCCCCTCAGCAGTGTATTTCGTCAGTCTGCCTGTTCTGTTCCCCACTCTCTCTCCGGTGAATCCTCTCACCCTCCCGCACATCTGGCCTGTACCCCGGTTCTTGTATAAAAATAAATAAATCTTTTTAAAAAAAGCCCTATAAACAAGCAGGACAGGGTGTGAATGTTGGAGTTTTATAGATTTTATAGATGAGGAAACCAATACTCGAAGGGTTAGGTAGTTTGTTCAAAACTGCTTGCCTCGTCAGGAGCAAGCATTGGTACTTTCAGAGAACTTAACAGGAGAAGCAGCACAGTATCTATTCATTTGTTCAAAAAGCATTCTTTGAACATGCATGTGATGACTTTGCTATGTGTCACTTTGGATAGGCTGAACTACATTTCCCAGGATTTCTTGTTTCCCATCAGGGTGTGTCACAGAGAAAATTCCTGGGAAAATCGGAGGGCAGAAGGGAAGCTGTAGCCATCATGAACCTTGTGGCTGATCTGCTGATTCCTCTCACTGCAGTGAGCAGCAGCAGCTGGACCTGCAATCACTCCACCTTCTCCTGGATTCTCCAAGTTCTCTGACTTCTGGGCCAGGTGTATGTGTATAGATTCATGAAGAAGGGCCCCCACTTCTGAAAGATACTTTCACCAAAGTCAAAAGCAGCAAGAATAGAAACGGCTCAATTTGTCTTCCTGGGAATTCAGCTCGTGTCTGCCGTCTCCCAGCATAATGGTGGACTGCCTGTCACAACTGCCTGCCCTGTGGACCTCAAGCTCCAGCATCAGATGTAAAGACCACATCCTTACAAAGACCGCTTGACCAACCCCAACAAATGCATAAGCCAAACCCCTGTAACAAGTATTTACCACACACATAACTGGTCCTGCTTCATTAACTGAACCTAACTGACAGAAGATACAACCTTTTACATGGCACTCATAACGTCAGAACACAGCATCAGGCCTCCCTTGTGGAGCAAGGGGTTAAGACACAACCTACGGGGCCTCCCCGGTGGCGCAGCAGTTGAGCGCTGGGTTGCAAAACTGCCCGCGGCCTCTCCGGCGCCGGTTCGATCCCCGGCTGCTCCCCGGCCACCGGAGGAGGGTCCCACATGGCCCGCAGACCTCTCCTGCCGCCCGCTGCTCCCCTCAGCAGTGTACTTCGGTCCTTCTGCCTGCTCTGCTCCCCGCTCTGGCTCTGGTGAATTCTCTCGCCCTCCCGCGCTTCTGACTGTACCTAGTGCATGTATAAAACGAAAACAAACAAACAAATAAATAAATAAAACATGCCTCTAAAAAAAAAAAAAAAAAGACACAACCTACGAAGCTATCCACAGCCTCTGCAGCATGAGTTCAATACCCCCACCAGCCACATGGCGCAGCAGACCTCTCCTAACTCACCCATTGCTCCCCTCAGCAGTATACTTCAGTCGACCTGCTTGTTCTGTTCCCCCACTCTGTCTCTGGTGAATCCCCTCCCCCCCCACACCTCTGGCCTGTACCCCAGTTCTTGAATGCATAAATAAATAAATCTTTAAAAAAAAAAAAAGAACACAGCATCTCTGGAATCATAGTTGAGATTTTATTCTGACTATATGATAAGCCAGGCCTCCACTTCTCTGAGCTCTTTCTTCCTCTGTAAACCAGAGGTGGTTATACTGCCTAGACATGGGGCTTAGTGTGAAAATTTAAAATAAAAATGAGTATTAAAGTGCCTCAAGCTATACCTGGCATGGGAAATGTTAATTTTTCTCCTCCTAGACAAATTCCTGGAGTAGTGCCCAGTTCTCCTGACCCTTGATGTAGAACTCATTCCATTACACCATACTGTTCCTGAAAATAACTACTTCTCACACCTGTTTTCATAAGTCATCCCACCTAAATAATCTGCATCATAAATACCAACCATAAATCCTTACCAAGCACTGTGCAGTGACCAGCCCACAAAGCTGAGTCTCCTCTCAGAATGTACTCTTTCCATAGCGAAAGTAATCCTTCCTCCTCTTGCCCTATGGTAAATATTTCAAAAGTTGGTCCCAAATGCTTTAACAAGGTAGTCCTTATTGGCTAGAAGAGAAAGCAATCATCTCTGCCTATGTGACTTGGCACTATCTCGATCTATTGTGCATATCAAGTGAAAACAGAATAATCATCCTTGGATATAGTCTGGAGAGGTGATGTGTAATACGGTTGTCACTTACCCAGGTGCCTAGTGAGCACCTGAAATATGGTACCTCTCAACTCAGACTTACTATGAGTGTAAAATACACACTAGATTTCCAAATACTTAGTGCAAACTAAAAAAGGATGTACAATGTCTCATTAATAGTTTTTATAATGATTACATATTAAAACAATACTATTTTGGATATACACTAAAAATTCATTTTACTTACTTCTTTTTACATTCTGTAATGTGGCTACTACAATGTTTAGAATTATAAATGTGAGTCACATTTGTGGCTCTGATTATGAGCCTGTAGCCTAGCTCATCCTCCCCATGGTAGTCTGTTCCATTCCCATCTGGAACAAACTCAGAAGCTGCTTAGAGCTAGAGACAACCACTGCAGTTAGACATCACGTAAGAAATGCCTTGCTTGAGGCAAGATGTAGAAAAGTAAAAGGAGCAAGAGAAAGGAAAAAAATAACAAAGGAAATACATTTGGATAGGAAGAGGGGAGACAGGAGAAGGCAAAGGGCAAGATAACTAAAGAAAAGGGCACTCTAGAAGGCAGCCAGGACCTGCTTGTGTTCCTTGGGGCTGACACTTAACCACTTAAGCTTTAAAACCCTTTTTAAATTTTAAAACTTGTTGCAGAGTTCAGCTCAGCCTTGGATTCCAGTACAAAGGGCCACTGATCATGCTGAAATGTTCTAGGCTTCCCAGGCCTCCAGATGGCCTGAGTTCCCAGGATCTAGTTTAAAGGTTGAGTAATGAAAAAATATTACTGAAGGTCCTCAAAGCCTCCTTACTGCAGACATCAGACATGATCAAAGTCTTTCATAATACTCTATTCTATCTAATAGCATTACCTATACCCCTTAAACATTCCTTTCCAGGATAGATGGGCTCTTTCCCCAAGTCTCTGTCCCTAATGTGTTAAATACCTACACCAGTAAGAGCACTCTTTTTTTTTTTTTTTTTTGCACTCTTATTTCCTTTTATCCGTTTTCTTTACAACCACAGGCTTCCTTGAATCTTGAGCCATTCCATGTAAACAAACACAAAAGAAGAATAACAAAAATCATCTTATTTTTAGTGATATTTTCCACATAATAAGATGCAAAGAGCATTTTCAGCTATGCATTTAGAGAACTTTCAGGCAATTTGTCCCCCACGTATCATTAGGTAGGGTCATTTAAGCTTCCAGGTATTAATGAGTTGCATAAAGATGAGGTCTTGGTAGAGAAGGTTTTAAGTTATTTTACAAACAGCAGAAGCTGTACCACAGGGATCCTGTCTCTGAAAAATGAATCTACCAAATGGTTATATGTTCCTGATTTCCATAAGGTGTTGGAAATGGGGAGTAAAAACAAAGAAGGAAAGGAAAAAACTTAAAATGCCAGCACAAATATACTGTCTCTGTCTATGAAATGATGGCAACTCTTCTTAAAGAAACCACATCCCTGCATAAATCTTGACAAAATTCTTCTCTCCATTTATTCCAAGTAAAGCACAAACTGCTTCCAGTCCAAGCTCCCCAATGCCACAAGGCAAGGTAGTGCTTCCTCGGGAAATGACCCAGGAAGACCTCACTCCACCTTTTGGGCTAATGGGGCATTGATTGTAGGTCAACCTCATAGGTTAGGTCCTTCTTCGTGGGAAGTTAGGAGTACTCAAGGCAGCTTAGTTTTCTATGCATTACAGTAAATAGCTATAGATCAAACTTCAGGAACTACCTTACTTGTGGGAGGAAGTCTAAATCAAAAGGCATAATTTATAATCGTGCAAATATTTGGTGTTGGGATAAATCATATCACTGGTGGCCACTTCCAGAAATCAAAAGATAATGCTAAAGGAGCCCACACAGTTGTGTCTTCCATTCATTCATTCACTCATACAATAAATATTTTTGAGTGTCTACTATTGTCTACCACACACTATTCCAGTCTGAAATACAGGCAAAAATTCTGCCCTCCTGGAATTACAGGTGTGACTGATGACATAAGCTAAATAAGTAAAATGTGTTGAATGCTAGACAGTGACAAATGTTAAGGACAAGCCCATATCAAAGGAGGTATGATATGTCAGGAAGTAATAAAGTGCCTCCCTGAAAAGACCAGAAGGAAGTAGAAATTAAGATATGCAGATATTGAGGGGAAGGTGTTCCTTCCAAGCAGAGGACACAACAAAATTCCTCAGATTAGGATGAGCCTGGCATATTCCAGAAAAATAGTATCAGTGTGGTTGGAGCAAAGAAAAGGAGATGGAGAGAGTAGTAATGGACAAGAACAAAGGATGTACAGGGAAGCAGATCATTTTGATTTCCTTAGGAAACAGGGGCAGGAAACTGTCTGAAAGGTTGCATAGGTATTCATTAAGTCAGTGTGTGTAGACTCCTAGCTTGGTCTGAACACAGGAGATCATGAATTCTAGTCACCTTTCATTCCCTGTAACAGTTTGCTTTATCTCCTCTTCCTCCCTCCCACCTCCTGGCCTCCCCACCCCCCTTTATATTTTCCATCATCATCTTTCCACCTCCCCCATAGCAAAGCTGCTCTCCTGCAGAGCTGTCACTTTGGAAAGGATATGATAAATGGTCCACACCACAGTGATAATAATCTCTTAAATTTCAATGGGCTTTATACATTCTAGGAGACTTTGACTTGCACAGGCTCATTAGATCCTCAAAACTTTCCTGCGAGGTAGGAAAGTTAAAAAGGAAATTAGCATTCCGAGGTTAAGTGACCTACCTAAGGTTACACAGCTAACCAAAGGCAGAGTAAGACTAAAATTCAAGTTCCCTGCTACCCCCTTTCTAAAGTTTCATAATAGCACTGGAAACTAGTAGAATGAGTGAAGGGCAGGGACCTAGGGGAGGCCCCTCAGGCAGGACTTGACTGGCACTTACCAGGTACTACTTTCTCACACAGTAATGCTCATATGTCACAGTGAAACCCTGATGCTGTGGATTTAATCAAATGGAGTCATAATGCAAAGCCTAACACTCAGGAGAGCAGAATTTTTACTAATTCTCCATAACAGTATTTTTCCTAGTCCTAAGCACCGAACCACCCTGACTGGCATGCACCTGGGTTCAGCAAAAGGCAGGCTGGGGGAGTCGGGGGTGGGGTGAGGAGTAGGAGTATAGTCCATGAAGCTACTCTCCCAGGAGAGCCCTGACCATGGGCCAAACTTAGCCTACAGCTGTATGACCCAAGAAGAAGTTTCGAAACTGAGGTATTTTCTAGAG